CCAAGGGAAGGGGAATGAGGACTACTTTTGCTCACAGGCCTGAGACCCTAACAGACTTTCATCCCTGAGAGCAGGGAAAGATGAGGCTTTGAGGGGAGAGCACCTCTCTGAAGAGAGGAGGTATTTAAAGAAGGAGGGAGAATGGAGGCTTCTGGCTTGTTTCCCAGCTCAGCCTTCCTTGCTTGTCCAGCACACTAATCTTTTTGAGCCCCAGTTATGTTCTTGTTCTAGGTGCAAGGAGCCAGGAGCACTTAGGACCAGGGAAACTGTACATAAACAGAAGGTTAGAATCCCTTTAGTTTTACCCTCCCTCTTCTCCACCCCTCCCCTTCAACTAAGGAGACTGAATGACTGGTCACCTCAGTAATAACTCTACTCCCTTCCTGTGATCAGGAAGATATGAATAGTGACCTTTCAGATGTGTAGGGGTCTCTGAGCTTGGGGAAGCACTCCCAGGGTCTTCCACTCAGGTCATAGGATTGTAACACCTGTTTTGAAAACCTAACCCTGATATAGGATCATAGAACTTTAGAGCTGAAAGAGACTTTAGATGACATTAGTCTAATCCTCTTGGGTTCTAGAGGTCATGTAAGTCAGCAGCCAGAGTGAAGGTGATCCGTGGGGTCAGGTGGCAGAGCTGGGATTCAGTCTGGGTTCTAACAGGTCTTAGGGCATGTCAGAGTTGGAAGGGACCTCAGCTCTCCTCTGAGGTGAAATCTCTATGGCTGCTTCAATGCATGATGTGTGTGTGTTGGGGTGGGGGGAAGGGGAGTTTAAAAAGAGGCACAGTTCTTATCAGATTTGGAGGGAAAGGTGATGAGATTAATTTGGGGCACATTGAACTTGCATAAAGGTCAGAGCTGGACATCTAAATGTAGGAGTGATAGAAGGAGATGGAGAGGGGGAACAAGTGAGTTACCTCTTGAGTCAATAAGGCCCGGAGCCATCTTTAGTAACCTGGATTTTGTAAAGCATATTGCAACATGCATTCCTGGTATTCTCAGCTGAGTTTGGATGGGGAGATATTTTGGGAAATGGCATCTAGTGAATTCCACTCAGGTGTGGGGTGAACAGATGACCTCCAATTCCAAGTCCCCTTATATTTCTGAGATTTTATGATTCTGTGAGATCAGAGGAAATTCCTGACTCAAAATTGAGAGCTTTTTTTTTTCTTTTCCTATGTTACACTGTCTCGAGAGTGACTCTGATCTTGCCCACCTAAACTCAAGGGGTTATGACTCGATCCCGTGAATAGAGAAACATGGTCCTCATGGGCCCCTCACATGGGAGAGATTCCTAACTTAGGTTGCTGACAGAAGAGAAAAATGTCTTGCTATATCATCTGGACTCCTTGGGCCAGACACTGATCCCACACATGCACACGTTAGAGACTCACACATTTATTGCAAGTGAATACACAGAGATATATGCCTCATGCATGCTTGAGCACACACACACACACACACCCTCACCCCTCAGTGTTAACATGAAATTCACCCAATCATGCTTAGACTCCAAATCATGTTGTATGAGGAATTGTTTAGGAAACTTGGGATCTTTTAGCCTGGAGGAGAGAAGACTTGGGGAGAGGTAAATAATTATGTTCAAATATTTGAAGGGCTGACCATTTGAAAGAACAAATTCTCTTTACTTTTTTCTTTTTTTGCTTGGTCCTAGAAGGCAAAATTATCAACAATGAGTGAACATTACAGAGGCAAGTGTCAGCTCAATGTAACAATCAGAGAGGCTTTTTAAAAATGACTGCATCAAAGAGACATGTCCCTGCCCCAAAGTAACTAAAACATTTTATTTCAATTCACTTCATTTCAGCTGTATAAGCACTGGGTGCTGGCCAAACAAAGATAAAAATGAGACAGCCCCTGTGTTCAAGGAAGCTTTTGTTCTACTGAGGCAGCTAGGTGGTACAGTGTACCACATACAGATACAGAGTACCAGGGCTGGAGTCAGTAAGATCTGAGTTCAAATCCAGCCTCAGACACTCACTAACTGTGTGATCTCAAGCAAGTCACTTAATCTTTTTGCCTCAATTTCCTCTACTGTAAATGGGGAAAATAATTAATTCCTACCTCCCCGAACTGTTGTGAGGATCAAGTGAGTATTTTGTAAAGTGCCTGGTACAGAGTAGATGCCATAAAAATGCTTATTCTCACTTCCCCCTATGGGGTGGGGAGGAAGTGATAAAATGTGCACAGACCAGCAAAAAACAAAATAAGAAGTGAATAACAAAGTGATTTTTAAGGTGAGGGGAGATCGAGTGCAGCACTAACAAGTGAGGGAACGAGAAAAGGTACCTAAGTTGAGGCTTGAAGGAGGACTGGGAGTTCCAAGGGATACAGGTGGGGAGGGAGTCCATTCCACACCTGGGGCACAGTCTGTGCAAAGGCATAGAGTGGGAGGAGTGTGTGAGATAGGTTGGAGGGAGACTGGGATGGGTTTTAAATGCTGAAAATCAATGGGATATACTAAAGGACGTTTCTCCTTAGGGGGGATTGGAGGCTGGTCTAGGTGACCGCTAACTTTGAGCATTTGGTATTCTATACAAATCCTTAGAATTCCTCACCCAGACCATGTGGTCAGCACTGGAGAAGGGGGTCAGGTGTGATAAGAGGGAGAAACCAAGGCTCCATGCTTAATCCTGGGGACCCGTCAAAGTCTCCACTCCACCGCAGTCCATCCTCCACTCTGCTGCCAGAGACTTCTCTAAAGCAAAGGTCTAGTGTCACATCAATCACACACACCCTGCCCCACTTAGTTTGCTCCCAGTTGCCTTGAGGATCAAATACATAAGCTTCTATTTGCACTTTAACACCCTTACAATCTGGTCCCTTCCTATCTTTACAGCCTTCTTACACTTCACACCCCTCCCCATAATCTATGATCCAGTGACATTGGTGGTCTTCTTTTCTTTTAAATCTGCCACACTCCATCTCCTGACTCTGGGCATTTTTCCTGGCTGTCTTCCATGCCTAACATGCTTTCCCTCCTCACCTCTTGACTTCCTGGCTTCCTTCAAAATTCATCTCAAATCCCACCTTTTATAAGGCATTTCCTACTTTCCCCACTGCTAATGCCTTCTGAAATAGCCTTCTATCTTCTCTGTATATATTGTCTACGTACATAGTTGTTTCTGTATCGTCTCCCCAAAAGACAGTGAGCTTTCTTGAGGGTAGGGACTGTTCTTTGTATCCCCACTGTTTAGCCCAGTGCCTGGCACAGAGTAGGTGCTCAATTAAATGCTGGTTGATGGTGATGATTCTGATGAAGGTCAGAGAAGGGAACCAATGATGATAGCGAGTCACTCCTGAGCCCTGAACCTGTCCCACCAAGGCTGTTATCTGATTTCCCTTGGGGTCTGCCCCAAATGATATCCGGTCAGTCAGTCAGTTAACCAGCATTTCTCATTGTGCATCAGGAACTGTGCTAAGTAATGGAGATACAAAGAAAGGTTCATAGCCTTTCCCTCCCTGGTGGAAAACTAGCATGTACAGAGATCAAAACATTGGGTCAAGTTTGCAAGTTGAGGTAGGGCAGAGGAAGGAATCCCAGGCATCTCTTTCTCTTCCTTCTTCCCTTTCCTGTCCCCCTAAACACCACTGCAGACTCATTCTGAAGACTCCTTGGCCAGTGGAGTCAGAGCCCTCCAGGGCTCCAGCCAGGGGAAGAGGAGGGAAGGCAGTGGCTGGCTCAGTGCAGGGACTTGGGCCCAGCTTCCTCTGTCCTTTCTCGTTTATGAGCCTCTTTATAGCCATCCCATCGTCAGGTTAATGAGGAAGTAAGTGACGCTGAGATGAAGCAGAAAGGGGCCTGGATCGGGTGGGGGCTGGGCAGGCAGGATGGTGCAGTGGGTTAGTGGGTGGTGATAGCCCAACCCTCCCCCCTGAAAAGCAGCCAGATTCTGCTCCCGCCAAAGACTCCCTTGTAAATGGCCCTCCTCAGTGGTGCTAATGGCTGTAAAGGTCTGTAATGAGAGACGATGGGGGCTTTGGGTGGCCAGAGAGGAAACCCTGGTAAGGGCCGGCGTCCGGCTGGGCACGGTAGGCCATAAAATTAACAGGCTGTAAAAAGGGAAAGGGCATGGAGACAGAGGAAGGCAGCTGGTGGCAGGGAGGAGAGTGGATGGAAAGGCTATGGAGCGGAACATCTGGGAGGTCTCCTAAGAGGATGACCCAGAGGAGCAGCGAGTACCTGGCTCAAATCCTAAGAGGGTGGTCTTGGGGACCAACCAGAATAGGGGGTCTGAGTCCTGGCACTTCAATAATGGGGATGAAGTATGTATGACGACACTCTCTTTCATCCACTCTCCTTTGGGAGAGTCAGGTTGGGGTTTAGAGTTGGGGTTTGGGGGCCTGATTATCATTGGGATTAGGTGGCGGCATAACTTTAGTGGGGGGGATGGTTCTATTTCCTTTCCATGAAGCCAGGATAAAAAGATTGGGGGGTCAGTCGTAGGTTGGGATTGAGAGTTTACTGTAAGGAAATGGGGAGGGGACCAGCTGGGGCCTCTGTTATAGAAGGAGATTATGGGGATGGGAAGAAAGTATAAAGAATTGGGAAGTGTTGGGAAACAGAAAAGGGATCTGTGGCTGGGGATGGGAGTTAGAGATATTTTTTTATCTAGAAAAGTCAGACAGAAGGGCAAGGAGAGTGTGGTCAAGTGTGCTGGATCTGTACTCAGGAAGACCTGGGTCAGAATCCCACCTCAAACAATGCTAACCCCAAGCCTAGTTCCCACATCTGCAAAATGAGGTTGTTGGATTTGATGTAAATCTCAGATCCTGTGACGAGAGAACACCCCTGACCTCAAAATACTCTTCCCTTCAGTTCACCCCGTCCCCTTGATTATGTGTATTTGTCTTTCTTCTTCTCCAATAGAACGTTAGCTCCTTGAGAGCAGGGACTGTTTCATTTATGAGTCTATGGTCTCTGGGTACAGAACAATACCTGGAGCATAGTAGGCATATCCTGAATGCTTTCCTCAGGTTGAGTTGTCCGATGGCACTACGCACACCATCACTGATGCATATGCCGGGAAGGAGTACATCATTCAGGTGGCTGCTAAGGACAATGAGATTGGGACATGGAGTGACTGGAGTGTGGCCGCCCATGCCACTCCTTGGACTGAGGAGCCCAGATACCTTACAACAGAGGCTCAGGCTCCAGGTTAGAATCCTGGGGTCATTCCCCATCCCCATTCTCAACACCCACTGTACTCACGCTGGGACTTTCTCACATCTCCATCTCTGTCCAGTCTCCTTTTGTCCATCTTCCAACCTTGCTCCATAACAACAAAATCTCCCCTCTCTTCTGCTCCAAATACCCTCATCTCCGTCTATCCCACTATACCTTGTGGGATTCATTATAACCTTAGACATTCTTATTATCCATTATTTCTTTGTGTCTGTCTGTCTGTCTGTCTGTCTGTCTGTCTGTCTAGCTAGCCAGCTTTCTGCCTATCTACAGGGCAGTATACACTGCTCTTGGAATCAGAATTCTTGGATTTGAGGTCTGGTTCTACCACTTATCATCTGAGCAACCCTGGTCAAGCCATTTAACATCTCTAAGTCTTAGGTTCCTCCTCTGTAAAATGGGGATAATACACCACTTACCTCACTGAGTTTTTATGAAGATAGTGCTTTGTAAATTTTGAAGCACCATATAGATGCAAGCTATTATCACTTTCTATTCTCTCTCCCTGTCTATTCCTGTGTTCCTCTGTACATGTCTCTGTTGTAAAAACTCTTATTTTCTCCTGATAGATCTTATCTCATTCAGCACCCTTTTGTCAGAGAACTGCCCTTCCTCTTCCCTCCTCCTGCACTTTCCCCCCATCCCCATTGTTTGGATCTGGGAAGGAGGTGCAGTCCCCTGCTCTCCAGGGTTCCCAAAGCTGGTGAAGAGAGAATGGGGGAGAACAGGGTCTTCACTAAAGAAATGGATAATTTTTCCCACCTCTTCCCCTACTCTGGTTAGGGTGAAGAGTTCATGGGGATCCCCGCCCCAGCCTCATATAAGCCCCAGACCCTCTGAGTTTTTTCCCTTCCCCCCAGAGACCACCACCACCACCACCACATCCTTCGTCCCCCCTCCCACCACGAAGATCTGTGATCCTGGAGAGGTTGGGGATGGTGTGGGATCCTCAACTGACCTCCTGCTGACTGTGACCGTGACTGTGACCGTGACCACCATAGCAGCCACTGGCCTCTTTATTTAGTGAGTCTGGGTTGGTGAAGAGCATGGGGGACTGGAGGGAAATGAGGGGGGTCAAGATGAGAGAGGGGAAGCAGGTTGTATAGAACCAGGCCTAGGAGATGCAAGGAGAGTGATAGAGGGAAACATTGGTGAAGAGAGGAGTTGGGGCCCTGAAGCAAGAGGGGTCAGTGGCCAGGTCAGGACACTGGAGAATTGGAGGACTTTTAGCTTCTTTCCATGCTTTTCATAATGAAATATATTACACATAGATCATATGCAAATAAGCTTTATTCTTTTTAATTAATAGCTGGAGGCTTTCACTGAGCACCCAAAGGAATAGTCCTGGGTGGGGGGAGGAGCTGTAGGAAAGAGGGAAGATGTGCCCATGTCGTGGGAAGGGGAGACTGAGGATCTGGCCAGCCTGAAGAGCTGGGCAGAAAGCCTGAAGGTCAACTTCCAGAAGAAGGCCCACAGGCCCTTTGGGCTGGGGCAGGGCAGGGCAGGGAGAAAGTTGGGTTCTGAGAAGCTGGACTAAGCCATACTAACCACCTCCCTTCTCTTCTTTTCCCAGAGTCCCTCTTTGCATTCCTGTGGAAGAAAATGTTGAAAACAGAAATGAACAACAACAACAACAAAAAGGCTCACAAAAATATCACACACACACACACACACACCCCCAAAAAAAAACCAGGAAAAAAAAAACCAAAACAAAACAAAAAAAAAAGATACTGTTGGGATTCTTGTTTTTCTATTTTGCACACGGTCAGGAGGACATTTCACATTGTCTCCAGTTTCACTTTGTAGAGACAACCCTGGCCCCTGACTCCCCTCCTTCTGTCCCCAGGCTGTACCCTTACTCCCAGCTTTCTGACACTTTTCTCCCCTCCTCTGGCCCTGCAGCCTGTAGACCCTCGGCTCTCTGGTTTTCTGCCTCCTCTCCAGCCCTCAGGTTGTGTCCCCGAGCTCCTGGTCACTCAAACTCCTTGCTCCCTGACCTCCCAACCTCTACTGTCCTCAATCCCCAGCCTTCCCCCTTCCCTTGTTGGAGGCCCCCATATCCTTGACAGGGGACAAGCTACTTGAGAGGGACCTCCATCCCCTCCTCTGTAGGCAAGAGAGAGAACCATACAGCTAACCCACCCACCAAAGACATACCCCTTCTCCCTCATCTGGGCCACCTACCCCAGCCCCCTCCTCCTAGGGGGCCCCAGAGGACTTGGGTAGGGGGTAAGGGGGCCTCACCCCTTAATGCCAGCAGCTTTCCCCATACCTCTGGCCCAAGTGCCCCCCCGGCTCTAGTTCCTTGGCTGTCTCCTTCAGGGCCTTTGCCCGGTTGGATTAGAAGTTCCTAAGAACTCGCCCATTGTCCTCCAGTCACAAATTCCCACACCACATGCTTTTTCAGTCTCCCCAGGCCCCAGGGCTTCCCAACTCCTGTTTTGTATGGCCCTCCCTCACCTTGTGCCTCCCCAAAGTATTTAATGCCCCATTCATCCTAGTCAAACCCAGTGGTAACTTGCTGTATTTGAATTTTTTATAGATGTATATATACAGGGGAGGGGGGTGGGGAAGGGAAAAAGGGTTCTCATTAAACGTCACCATTTCATGAGTTACTGAGAGCAGACCAGTTATTGGGGGGTGGGGGAGGGTAGGGGGGGATTTAATCAGAGAGTGCAGCTAGAAGCAGTTTTTTTTTCCTTTTTTTATCATAGGGAAATGACTTCTAGAGAGGAAACAAGGCTAGGAATAATTTCTCAGTGGCATTTCTCTGGGTAGGCAACTGTAAACAATGTTTTCCCTCAGGGACTTGTGATGAGATTGGTCATATTTAACTTATTTATCAGTGACCTGAAGGAAGAGGGGCTACAAATTCCAATTCAATATGGATTAAGTCTCTGCTCTGTGTGATGCACTATACTAGGCCCTGGGAATACAGTGATAAAAATGATGAGTCTCTACCTTCAAGAAGCTTACAGCATTCCACTGGGGAGAAATGACATGTATGCAGAGGAATCTAGTACAAGGTAATCAGTGATGGGGCAAAGGAGAGATCCCACAAGTACTCTGGGAACGTTTGATGGAGAGAACACTCGAAGCTGGTTGGGTATAGGCTTCCTAGAGGAGCTGACTTCTGAGCTGGGTGGTGAAGGAAGACGATTCCAAACGGCAGAGATGAGAAGGAAAAGCCTTCTAGGGATAGCCGGTAGAAATACGCTGAGGCAGGAGAGATGGCTTTTGGAGGGAGTTTGGCAATGCTACATTTTGGCTGGAACTGAGATAGCAAAAGGCAATAGAGCTCCCTTTGTGACATGTGAAATAAGGCTGGAATGGTAGGTGGGAATGAGACTGTAAAGGACCTTTTTGTCTCAAGGGCAATACGGAACCACTGAAGCTTTTGGAGCATGGGAGTGTTGTGCTTTGAGAAAATTATTTTTATAGCTATGTTTATGAAGAGGTGGGATTGGAGGCCAGTTATTATAACAGTCAAGACCAGAGGTGGTAGAGACCTGAACAAGGGTGAGGGCAGTGTGAGTGGAGGGATGAAATCTGATGGGAGAAATGTGGATAGACCATGGCAACTGAATGGATGTAGGAGGTAAGGAAGAGAGGAGTCAGAGATGATTCCAAATTTTCTAAAATGGGTGACAAGATAGTGATGTCCTCAACAAAAATAAGTTTAGTGGAGGGATGAGTTTAGGGAAGAAGATGATGAACAATTTTGGATATGTTGAATTTGAGATGCCTTTGGGATTGTTGTTGTTCAGCCTTCATTCTCAAAGAGGACTAATGACATCAGGAAGGTGATGTCTTGACTTGCAAGTGAATTGGATTTAAATGAGACGAGCTTCTCAAAGTCACCGGCCCCGCTCTCTCTTCCAGGGTCATTGGAGTCAAGTGGCAAGTCATAGGTCAGGATGACTGGCAATCGCCGAGCCTTTGGGATATCAAGATGGAGATGTCCAGCAGGTAGTTGGTGATGGAGGACTAGATTTGCATTGAGATAAGGCCTGTGTGTATAGATTTAGGAGTCCTCTGTGTAGAATGAATTGAACCTTGGTGGTAGCTGATGAGATTACCAAGGGAGAAAGTAGAGAAAGAAGAGGGCCTATAGGATAGAGCCTTAGGGGATACCTATGATTGGGGGGGTAGCAAGGGATTCAAGGGTGGGGGAAAAAGTGCCTTGTTGAATTGCATCACTTCAGAGTTAAGACTGGAGGAAGGAAAGTAGGGACAGACATCTCCACGTCTGTATGTGGCATGAAGCATTTTCAGGGTGAGAAATACCCAGGGGACAGAGTAACCTGCAGGAAGAGCTGTCGCTAACAAGGAGACAAATGGCAGATTTTATCAGTCAACAAGGATTTATTAAGCACTGACTATGTGCCAGGCACTGTGCTAAGTGCCTGGGACACCAAGAAAGGTAAAAATGGATGAACTCAAATGTGAAGAAAAATGAATACAAACTTCTCTTAGAGGAAGAAGGGCACTCAGTTATGGTCCAAAATCTAGACTCAATTGTAAGGAAGGATTTCCTAATTAGCATTGCCCCAAAATGGAGTAGACCAATGGTGTTGAGGAATGGATTCCCATTCCCTGGAGGTCTTCAGGTGGAGTCTGGATGACCAAGCTGTAGGGCATGTGGAGGGAGGAGATTTCTGCCCAGGCACAGAGTGGATGGGGATCAGAGGTGTCCAACAAGTTACCCACAGCGCTCCTGAGTGTGGCCCAAGCCAGATTAAAATGCAATTGGGGAATATTTCACAACATAAATAAAAATACAATAAGACATAGATAACATTACATTTTAAAACTAAGTCAATATGTAGCATGCAGGGATCCATCTGTGGCCCCTCAGTGGCCCCTGTCTCTACTCTAAGTTTGACATCACCGGCCTAGATGATCCCTGACATCCCTTCCAACTCTGAGAGGCTCTGTAATCCAGGACAAGGCCTTGGATGGGTTGTGGCAGTGGGATGGGTTGGGGAGGGGCAGCATACATAGCCTGTTCTCTGGAGAAACTGGCTCCATGAGTTTCTGTGGCCAGAACACTAATAAGAATCCTGGGTATTGTCATGAATCTATAAAAATGACTTACATTTATATAGTGCTTTAAGATTTACAAAACCCTTCACAAACATTATCTCATTTGAAATTCAAAACAACCTCATGAAGAAAGTAGTACAACCATTATGATCTCAGAGGTCATGGGTTCAAATCCTACCCCTGATGCTTTCTACCCATATGGCTTTGGGAAGGTTTCCTCAACCTCTCTGTGTTTTAGTTTCCTTATTTGTAAAATGTGAGAGCTGGACTACATGAGATCCCCTTTCAGCTCTAAATTTATGATCCTATGATCCATTTAACAGAAAAGGAAGTCAAGACTCAAGAGAGGTAGAGTGATTTTTCTAAGGTCACAGAGCCTAGCTAAGTGTAATTGGTCCTGGGCTTTACTCTACATGGAGGAGCACCAATCACCCAGGTTATTTCCAGAGATTCCTTGTGGGCTTGTGTCCAGCTGAACTATAATGGCAGGGAGAGGACGAAAAGGCACCAACCAGCCTTGCTCTTGGAGAATTTATAGCCTAGTTGGGGACACATATACACACACACACACACACACACACACACACACACACACAC